TTTTCTGAGGTTGTTGCTTTTTATATACATATCCTGAAATGGTTGAAAAGCTTTAGCAGTTGCATTAATCATTTGGTTGGATCTAAACATATGACTATACCACCTTTATTCACATATAATAAAAATTGATAAAGTTTACTATCCATAATGATTAAATATGTTTACAGGGAGGTTAGGCTGCTGCTTTGTACATTGCTGAGTGAAAAATAAAGACCCCCTACTAGGTGTATAAACAGTCCTAATACTTTCCCTATGGAGACTGAAAAAGAAGATAAATGCCATTACTAACGGAATGTTATGCTATTGTAACAGTTAAGTAATCTCAAACATATCTGAAGTAAGTGTTTAAATTTCAAAGTCCTGCAGAGATTCAGAGCAAATTCTGCATATGGAATCTGCAAGGAAAGAGCCATGCATAAACTGCAACAGATTTTTTAACAATCGCCAGGAAAAATGAAGTCTCTAAATTACACAATTTCACTTCAAAATTGTTGGAGGCTCTGATTTAGATCTGACGTACACTGTATTAGGCCCCTGGGTCAAAATAACCAGTTCAGCTACACAGACAGATTGTTATAGCCGTTGAAAGGAGTTTGAAGTATTTATGGTGATTTGAAGTTCCCACCAAATTTTAATGCAAGAGGTTTTCTTTAGATGACACATTCCAGCTGTTAAATAGCTTTTGATCATGCTCTGCTACCATCTCTTTAACTGCACACTAATATACTTTTTAATTGAAATGTTCAACTAAGAATGTCAATGCAAGCCCATATTTTGGTACCATGGAGATCATGTAGGAACACCAAGCTCACTTGCATATAATGTGCAAAAAAAACCTTCTCAGGTGTAGTTCTGTATTCATATAGTATTTTGTTTAAAATTCAAAACTATCTTCATGTAGAGCTATATCTTTATGTGAAACACTACAAGAGAAACCTTCAGTTTATTTATGGGTAACTTAATCTCACAGCCTTTTCCTTTCCACAAAAATGTTCTTTATCCAGATGTATCATGTCAAGGGGATGTTTCGTCTCATAAAGACAGTCAGGTGTTATGAACAGGGAGATAGATGAACACAGATGGGAAATGAGAACAAGTGGATAGGAAGTAAATCTTTCAGACACACAGGGCATATTATGCCCTAGGATCCCTGTACTTTCTTGTTTAAAAAATATTTATTTCTTTTTTAAACACGAATCGAGTTCAAGAATGGTTTAATAGAGGAAACAATACAAGGACATCCAACTGGAAAAAGGGTGATGTACTAAATGACTTAAACCTGCATTTCTTTAAACAGTGGCATCAAAGGCCATTTAAAAGTGTCTGTTGCAGTGGTGCTCACCTTGATCTGGAGAGCCAAATGTTTGCAGGATTTATAGGAAAACTCTTTATAATTAAGCAACTGATTGAGCTTCTTAAGTTACTCTGTGCTCAGCTGGAACACAAACCAGAAGACACTTCAATAGGAGATGGGACAATCATAGTCATTGTATAACTATAGTGGCTTTCTTCTTGTAAGTGACTTTAGCAATATAATTAAGCAGAGCAAAACTCAAGTAGATGCCCAAGGATGTATTTGGGTCTAACTTTCAGCAACATCTTTCTATGGCGTGAGATGCACAGCGTATTTCATTTTTCCTAGCACAAAACATGAAACTGAGAGAAGTTTCACAACGAAAAAGCAGGCATCTGCAGCGGATCAGAGTTCAATTCAAAATGAATTTTTCTTGGGTAGTGCGGATTGTGTGAGTTTTTTATTGTTCAGCATAACATTTTGCAGATGTTCAGCGTTTTAACCTGCTATTTTCACCAAAGGTCTGATGTTAAAAATTGGTACGACACATAAAACGAGACTGAGAATGCTTCTTGCTGCATTTTAAAAAAATGGTATAAAAATGTTAAACGGTGGAGCACTGTTGAATAGTGATGGACTATTGTTAGGTGTCACTAAGTTCTTTGAGATGTGGGAAGAACAGAAGAATGGAAAAGTCCCTTTGTAGACAACCCCACCTAATACTTCCTTGCTTAGTTAATTTGGCCCTGACAGAAACAAGCTGTGGCTGACGTTGAGCTGAACTTGAGAAGCTAATATTAGGCTGGAAAATTACTCAATCTTCTTCAGCCGTCAGTCTAAGACGACATTCTTTTTGGCCTCTGCTTTGTATCACGGGGCTATTGTTAAAACCTCAGTGTTGACACTCCTATAATTCCTTTTGGAAGTTACATCAGCACTCCTGGATGATAAACTCTCTCATATGAACAGACTAATGCATCCATGTCATCACTCACCATTGCAAAAGATTTTCGGGTTTAAAAAATATGAACTAACCCCAGGATGTCTTTATAGTTTTTTTTTTTGGAAAGCACAATAGCTTGAAATGAAAGTGATTTATGCATACTATGTCCGGATGTTTGCATGATCTCCTTGAAGTTTGCAAAACGTCTACAGGATTTAATGCACATTGGCCTTAGAGAAGTGTGTGGAATCTGCGTTGAAATAGAAATGTATTCCACAATGTGATTAGGACCACTGAAAAACCCGTACAGACATGGTGCTAAACTCTGGGGGTTGAAGGGTCTTCGAATTGCCTCCATAGACACCAATAATCTTTTTATCAAGCTGATCACAAAAAAAGCCACAGTTTGTTTAAAATTGTACATATGTAGCGAATGAAAGATATTTTTAAACTATTTTTCCCCAGCTAAGCATTCATTTTCCATCGGTAGAATATAAATCAAAGAGTTGTGGATATATTCACAAAAAGGTTCCGGGCCATTTGGTGAATGTTGATGACTGCAGATGGGAGTCTTTAGGTGAGGGGTGGTGGGAGGCAATAGTGAGTAAGTCTTTGGTCTTTTGCTGGTTTATGTCCCTGCTACACCATTCAGCAAGGTGCCTCTTCACAGTTTCCCAGCACCCCCAGCTGTATAAAAAGGGGCTGGTACTGCTGGGGGGGCTAGACCTGAAATGGACATCTGTACAAACCCAGGGGGGAGTCACATGTTTTCTAGCGCACTTAATTGTATACCAGAATACACTCCGGACTGCAGCAGCTTTGGTATAGACTTGATCATTATTTTCAGGTGAAGACTTGATGGAGCAATTTGAATCATACTACTTAAAAATATATAAAAAATAACTTGTTGGAAGAAATATTCAATATATACAAATACATTTAGAAAAGGTTTTAGAAAAAACCTTAAGTTGCCAAGTCCTGAACACTTTTATTGTGTTTATAGCCTATTAGAAACCAAGTGTTTAGTCTAAAATGCATCAGTGTTATTGAGCTTCATGTTCTTGTTATGCTTTTCACAGAAAAAGACACAGCAGTTCAGATTTTGATCCTGTTAATATTATGCTAGAATATGTTGAACATGTTCACATTAAATGACTTAGTGTAACACCACAACCATCATAAAGTAGAACTATGACTACACCATAACTCTTCATTTAAGTTAGATCACAGGGAATACAAATTTCAGAACATATTTTCAATGCTTTAGAACTGAATTTTTACTCATGTTATGTGCCATTTGTACATTCCATTGTGCTCAAACAGCTTGTTCTGTTTTGAAGCCTAAAATTGAATAACTTTAAAATATGCAATGAGTCCATTATAAAATAGTGCAAATTGCAAAATTGACATTACTTGACAACTTCTGGCAGCTACCAAAACAGTTTGTGTGGATCTCCAAGATTCTCCCAACACTTCAGATCCATATCTCCATAGTTCTACATCCAGCATGGTTATGAACTGCAGTAAAGAGCCTGAAAATGTCTGCCCTCAATGACAGTAGGATGTCTCTTCCTTTTAATACATGGTTACCAGCTCCCAACTTTAGCTCTGTGCCAAATGCAATTAGTCTAGAAACAACCGGTCATTTATACTAAGCATCAAATAGAATGTATTGTTTAAGAACTGCAAGCAATTCACAAAAAATTATTAGGAAGATTACTTTTTGGAGCAGGGAAAATGACATTACTTGTAGTTGGACATTTTGGACATTGCTAGCAGGTGACATGCTGATTAAAATTTGTCATGGGCTAGTAGCATGTGTGGACACTGTTATGAATACAAGCTGTACATCTCCTGTCGTTTTCCAATTCCTTTTATAGATCCTCAGCACAGCACATGCCCGTTCACTGGCTTCAGAGGCCTAGATGTAACATACCGTCACATATGTTCTGTGGGGAGCTGGGCAAGTAGGGCATTAGTGGTAACAACTTTCACATTTGCATCTTGCAACAAGGTCCTGAAGAAAGGTTCTCACATAAGAAAGAGCACACAGGAAGGGCAAGAGGAGGGATTAGTGTAGGACTGGGCAGCCAGGCTGCTGTTAAACATCACAAGTGGAGTCTTGTGTAGACGGCACATTCCCTGTGGAAACCACAACACTGAGCCCTATCTATTGGCCTGTTGTGCACAATAAGTAGCATACAGTATAATTCTGCATGTCTGCACCACAACTCCTGATATCCATCAAGGCAGACCACACAAAACCTTGATTCTTCCCTGAAGAGTACTTGGCTCTGCTGCTGGGTCTGAAGTATTACTTACAAAACTTCGCTCAGCTTGGTCAATGAACAATGTTTGAAACAGTTGAGTTTCCTGCTCATATGTACAGGTTGTTGCCATCTGGAGTTTCTGATGCTGTCTAACTGGGAATGCAAAAACAATCACTAAGACTCCCAGGTCAGGATCTTTCGTTGACTTTGTTTAGTTGTATGTCTTACCAGGCTTGAAATTACCTGCTGTGAACCCCCTGAAAATGAATGACAGTGCACTGATTTAGTCAGTCACAGATTTAGTCAGTCAACCTCCACATGCTGATGGTACAAAGTCATTAGTTCTCTGGTTAACAGGTGCATATCGATTCCTTTCTGTGTTTTTCTGAAGTCATTTGGTTCTTATGTCAATGGTACGTCGGTGTTTCACAGCCAGTAGTGAAAAATCAATCAAAATGACACAAAAGACATTTCATATCCAAAATCTGTACACTTTATTTTTATAAAAAACAGAGACGGATTCAGATGTACTCGTCAGTTTCAGAGGCAGTTCAGGCCATGATATATCACCATACTTCTGAATTTCCTCAGAAGTACAGAGATGAGCCAGAATAGTTTGTAACAGAATTTTATGGACAGATGAGTCCAAGATAAGCATTCAGCAATGTGATGGAAAGGTTAAATTGTGAAATAAGAAAGAAGCTGTAGGTGCTCCAAAAATCAGCCCTTCATCTGTGAAGAATGGTGGAGGTAATGTCATGGCCTGAGCGCACCTGGCTGTTTCAGGAACTGGCTGACTTGTCTTTATCTATGGTTGACAGGAACATTCTGTTTCTATACACAGAAAAAAAATGTTTTCCATTCTAATCACGCAGTGCTTCACCATGCAGTATGACAATGACCCAGAGCATACTGGCAACATAAACCAGGAGGATCAGGAGAAAAAAGTAGAAAATCTAACACTGGTCAAGTTAATGTCCAAATTTAAATTCAACTGAGCATGCATTTTACGTGCCAAAGAAAAAATAAGTCTGAATACCTTAAGAGTAGGCAAGATCTCAAAGTAAATCCAGCAAAGGCTTGACAAAGCATGCTCAATGCTTACACAGAAATTGGTGATTACCCAGGATTACTCAAGGGGTTTCATACAAAGTCTTTTAATACTCTGAAATTTACATCATATGTAAATGTAGTGCTTCTAACTTATAGTCTAAATGTTTTCTTATCATAAAGTATGATATGACGAAATCTGATCAAATATCTGCATGGAATTACCCAAAAATAAAAGGAAATCCTATTGCTCTTATCATTCCTATTTATTTCCCAATCACAAATACCAAATGCTTGACTGTAAAGCAAAAATAACAGTTAGTCAAAACCAGATTTTGATTTTGCAGCCCAGATATTTTAGAAGGCTGCTATATAGTCATATTCACATAGTTACGGTATGTCCTTACCAAACATGAAAAACATCAAAATAATGAACCCTAGCCTGAAGGTGACATTAGGTTAAATGAAGACAACATCAAATTAAGTGCTATAATACATACTTAATAAGGTGCTTACATTATAGAGGCATGCTACATTTTGCACAATATAGTTGCAAAAATGCCCTTTCAAGCCACATCTTCAGTATTAAACAGTAACTGATAATGGCACTGTGATAAGGTCCAAGAATCTAATCTGATTTTAGCTGGCCTGAACCAGAGTCAAACATGTTTTTGTGATTTTTAGCCTAACTTTGTGAAATATTGTACTGTTGCAAACAATATAATGCAATTTCAAATTTTATTATATTCCTCGTATTATTTTCAACATAGGTTGTAATGTCACCAACCGCAGTCTTGAAAAGGAATTTTGTGTCTACTGTACCTTCCATTTTATATCTTCATTTAAACGTCAACATCTAATCACACAACATGTGAAGGTAAACAGAAAAATAAACAAATGTACCTTTTTATCGAAACGTCATCCACTTGTGTTGACACAGGCTATTTTCTTTCAGAAATTTAGAATTAAATTTCTAAATATAACAGGTTAATCTGTATTAACAAGAACCACTATAAGAAACATTCATCTTAAACACAGCTTTTTTCCTTGTACATTAAAATGAAATATTTTTTTTCCACAGAAAGGTGTGCTTGTGAAAAAATGTTAATGAATAAATATTTCTGCTTATTTAAATGTTTTAAGCAATTCTAGTGGATTGCGACATGTTCGTGTAGCATATAAGCTAGAGAAGCAATACTTAATGGAGGTTAATAATTTGCTTTTAAAGAGAAAGGCATGAATGTTAATACTGTAGTTTTTTTTTTAATGGGCAGCATGACAATATATTATTTTTGTTAGCCGTCTTGAACTGTGTATTATGGAGCCTACATCTTGAAAATGCAGACAGCTATCAAATTTTTCAGCTTCTGCACGGCACATTCTGGCCCAGTTGTTACCGTGCATCTGGAATCATCACTACGTAAAAGGAGCTATTGTGTCTGAACATGACCGAAGTCTAGTAAAACTGGAATACCTGTAAATAAAGCAGCTAAGATCTCATTCGAAAAGCATGCACTCCAGCAGACATGGATAGCAACAAAATCTGGAGGATTTAAAATGTAGATATGAATAGCCATAACAGCTATGAAACAAATTCAGAGAAAACTGAATAAACAGGTCTAGGCTGTGTAGAATGACACGATGACATCAAACTAAAGCTGAAGATGGAATTAAGTGTGCCAGATGTAGCCTTGTAAATCATGAGACATGTCTCAGACACACATCAGCACTAATAAAATGATTATCTGTTTATAACATCACTTAGGCAAATGGTTAGTTTCTTTAAGAAGAGAAGAAAATCAGTTATTGAAGTAAGAACCACTCTACTAAAGCACATAAACTCAAGTGGTAATAAAAACCGTTAGGATGTACAGTATATATACAGTATATTATTGCATTCTGAAGTTTATTTTATCGGAGTCTTAAGGTCTTCACCTTCTAAAAATAAAGACATCATTTTCTAGTCTAAATTCAGCAGCCAGAAATAGGCCACATGCTGCTAGCTGGGGAAAAGACACTTTTGCCCCAGTTTTAGTTCATGTTGGACCACAGCGTTACATCCACAAAAGGTGCCAAAATGTCTAAATCAATAGAAGTCTGCCCCTTTGCAGAACTCTTTAGATTATCTTAGCTTGCTTGCTGGTGATACATTCACTGCAGAGAGCGCAATCTAAATTGATAGCCACCTTTACCCTCTGGGTTGCAGTAGTAGCTACAGGTAGAGGACACAAAATTGGCAAGTTTCTTAGTTGGTAAAGGGCAACAGTCCTATCCATTTATGACCATGGTTTAGTGTCTTCTCTTTAACTGTCACAAAAAACAAACAATAGGTTTTATGTACTATCTTATCTACCGTTTCTAATCAGCAAAGCTCAGATATGAAGGTTCCCTGGATGAAAAGTTCTTTGGCATTCCCAGTAGAAATTAGTTCATTCATATTTCATGCTTTCCATACAGTAGGTGGCAAGAAAAACAAATCAGATGTGTCATTTCTTCTTGATACTGATACTACATCATAAGGTTTAGGCAGACCACTGCATAAGGAGCTGTAATGACAAGGAAGTATTAAGCACAAAGTAATTATTGTCAGGAGATGTGATCTGGCATATTTGCATTGGAGGGATGTTTAAAATGCACCATGATGGGTTCCTCGTATGGACATTGATTCTTTTCAAGCAGTGTTTCATCAGTTTTTCCCCTAAGGACCAGGTACCGCAGAGCCACAGTGTGCCAGTCAGTCACCTCGTCAATGTGCAGTAGCCCACTCTGTCTGGAGTGTCTGACGAAACCACCTACAAAAATCAAAAACATCAAGCGTTTCAGAAAAACTACAGATAAGAAGTAAAAGCCATCCAACCCAATCCAAGCATGATCGTTCCCTCAAAAACCTGCTGTCCTACAGACAAGGTAAGGGTCAGCACTTACTGGGAAATGTACAGCAAGAGATTGTGTTCAAAGTCAAGTGTACCAATAGATGTATTAAAAGGTGTACGTGCCCTCTGGAGAGATCTGGCTCCTCCTGTTAGTTCTCATCCAGCCAACAGATGTGCGCGCCAGCAAATCTAGAGAGTGGGTGTCTGACACGGCGTCTAGGTCCTCCTCCTCTGTCATCAGGTCCCTCCCTTCAGACGAGCAAACCTTTCCTGAAAAATGCAGTAATAACTGTTGAAGTCGTCTCCATGGTAAATGGCTGAATTTGTATCAGCTGCATTTTCACCCCTTCACCTTTGTAGGGGACTTGACAGTCCCCAACAGTGAACTGACCTGCTTTTTGTGAACTATAAGACATGGACTCTGAATGAGCTCCACTTTCAGCTGAGCCATCTGATATGTGATAAGCCTTGTAATATGAAAACAATTTAGGCAGGCAACCCACTGAACTTCCATTGTTTTTTGTCAATGCAAGAGTAATCCGTTGCTTTATTTCTTGAAATAAAAGATGGAATAATATAAATACCTCCATGTTTGCAGAGCATCTTGACATAGAAGAAGAGGTTGGTGAAGAGGTTGAAAGGCGAGGGTGTGCCAGATTTACGGTTCATGTCCCGGATCAGCACCGCTCTCCCGAATTTCCACTCGGTGTCAGACTGGGCCTGGATGCGTTGATACGTATCACTCATCATGGCGATCAGCAGATTGACCAGCACAATGACTGTCACCACCAGGTAGATTCCGAAGACAAAGTGAGTGATGACTCCTGTGAAAGCCGGTGACCGATTCAGCGATGGCATGGAATCAGGATCAATCAGCCCAAAGAGTGCAAAGAACAGTTTGATGGATATTTCCAACGGGGTTTGAATCTCTGTACTATTATGGTCGCCAGTGGTGTTTCCAAAGGAAAGCTCCTCTGGGTAGACTGGCTGGTAGACAGCAGAGAGGTTCATGGTGAAGGCAGTGTGGAAAAGAACCAGGATGACTGCGAACCGAGCCAGGTCTTTAATGAGATCTCGGATGATAATGGCCCAGGGGCCAAACAAGTGATGAAAGGTCAGGAATTCCAGGAACTGCACAAAACTGAGGGTCATGGAAACAGCTAGGAAGATGTTGCGGGCAAAAAGACAGTGGAGGTCATCGGGAGACTGGAAGGCGAAAGCTAGCAAGTGACAGAAGAAGGCCACAGCGGAGAAACCAAGGACTAAGACACGGATCCAGGCTAATCCGGCCCGCTCTCCTGGGTGTGTCAATTCGGACACCAGCATCCCCGAAAGCCAGGCCAAGAGGAGCCACTCATTCCACTCGGGCAGCAGATTCCCCAGGTAGATGGGACTAACTGGGGGATAAACAATGGTGAGGATGAAGAGCAGTAACAAGAAGATGTGGGAGACCAGGTGGCTCATGAACTTCATGATGGGGATCTTATTGAACTTGTGCTTCAGTGGGAGGGAGAAGGCCAGCCAGAGCAGTGGGCAGGACAGCAGGCAGAAGAAGAGGAGGACGATCTTCCAGGGTGCCCACTTCAGGCTGCCATACCACACCTCCGTCAGGTACTTCTGAACAGCAGGATGGGCCACCACATCCTTCTGCTGGCTCTCAATCAGGCAGTCCAGCATGGTTGTTCCGCGGTGGTCCAGCGCGCGTAGGATGTAGCCAGCGCTTTTGCCTCCAGAGGCCACGGTGAGGAGCTCGGTAGCCATGCCCTCGCAGTACTTCGCGGCGTTCAGAAGGTCCATGGAGCGCTCCTTTTCCTTCAGAGCGGTGAGGCCGAATGCCCGCGAGAGCTTCACGGCCGCATCGAGAGGGGCAGGGGAGTGGAGGACAAACTCCTCGATCACAGCGTTGTTGTTCAGCTTCCCGCAGACCATCAGGTCGAAAATGAACTGAAAACGATAACGGTACAAATCAAATCTGTGTAAGAGAAACGCCTGTCACATTGGACATGGTGTCCAAAAGCAGAGTAAATCTTACTGTAGTTTGCGTCAGATTTTAAAATACATCACAAATCAGTTTAAAATAGAGCCATGCTACTGTTTGCTATTTTGGTATCATCTGTAGAAGTCACTAGTTTATCTACCATAGCAGAATCTAGAAGATTGGTAAACATCTGGCAGAGCAGTGGTCTTGATCCAGCTCGCTGTGGTACTCTAGTAATTACATCAGTCTGAGCATTTACCCCTTAACTATGTTGTTTTCTATCCACTAGCTAGTTCTCAAAAGCCTCCCTATAAATTAAATATACCTTAACATACCTGTTGTGTGCATGCCTGTTGCTGTTTCCACTTGCTTAATGAACTCTAACAAGTTAAGTGAGGCCAGACCTATTTTTTCTACTGAATACAAAGGTGTTTTTCATTGCGGGCCAATTTGGAAGGTATTATGAAAAAAGGAGTTAGTTGTGGAATCATGTACCGGTCACTCGTGGCCTGTTAACCCGCTGACAGACTTCAGGCCTACCTTCCTGTCTTCCACAAGTTTGAAGGTGTTGTTGTCTTGCCTCAACAGGAAGCTGACGGTGTCCTGGTGGTTTTCCTCAGCGGCGTACTGGATGGGAGTCCTTCCTTCCTTACACTCCATCCTGGCTGACGCCCCACTTTCCACCAGGAAACGCACCATCCCCAGAAACCCCGACTTGGCTGCAAAATGCAAGGGAGTCCAGCCACTCTGAGGGCCAGAAGGAAAATGACTGATACACCTGTGGAATCTCATAAACATGCTTCCTCATCGTACTTGGAGCATTTTAAAATTAATACTGTTATAGTCTTAATATATAGTCTCTAAATAATAAATACGGGGCATCAATGCATATCTTGCTGTGACTGTGTATTTTTTAAAAATAAGATGTTTTACAAAAACAATACGTGTTTTTTTTTCGAATTAAGAATTCTCATCTCCTAAAATGTTAATGTTGCATCCCTTCTTGAATCTCTAAAATCAAACACTTTCAAAATAATATCCCAACATTACGCATCGACACAAATTATTTATAGTTAATACTTTCGCTATTTGCATGCAACATTCTGAAATTCTACATTAAAAGACAGCTGCCAGATGTTGGCCCAGGTCTGAATTTACTCTCTTCTTTTTTCTCTCTTTTAATATTTTTTTTTTTGCAGTACCTTGTTTACTCATTTAACCAGAATGTAGATCTGCCCCTTATCAGCCACTTCTTGGTTATTATAGCACTTGCACACTACATTCAAGTTCATGAATTATCTGAATGCCTATCACCTGCAATGTTGAGAAGTTATCTTTTTCAAAAAGCTTCCGAAAATCTAAATTAACCAGATGGTATGCTAGATTTATATCCATTACTGCTGAGTGGAAAATGTGCTCATGTGCGGATGTCAAGATACAATCCATTAGTTTAATCTTGACCACAAAATCATGATTAGCTCCCGGATAGTACAGCGTTGGATAAGCTAACATATGCTTTTCATAATCAGCTACGATATTAGATTACAAAAATTGATGGAGAAGTGTAATCCTTAAATTTCAATTTTCAGCAGCTGCTGAAGTCTTGGCTTCCCGTTTCAGACAATGTATCAAGTGACAATGAAGCTAAAAGGTAAATAATCTGGCCTTGTAATTACCACATTTTTAAGACGTTCTTCCTAATATTACAAAAACCTACGAGTTCCTCTCCTTCATCACCCCTCACTTTTACTGACATATATTATATATTCTAGGTATTGAATACGGTAATGAAAATAAGTAAAACTATGCAAAGAACAGTGAAGGCAGTGAATAAGATTAACCGTAATATAAGTTATTATATTATAATATATAGTAATATATATATGTAATATGTCATTGTCATGTCATTTGTCAGACCGCTTTATACCACATGATGTCACGGGAAGCTGGAGCCTAGTCGGCAAGCAACGAGCGCAAGACAGGGTTCACCCTGGATGGGCCGCCAGTCCATCGCAGGGCAAGTGCAAGCCAATCATACATGGGGACAATCTGGAGGCCACGGTAAAGGCCGAGGGGAGAAATCTGGCCCGGACACCAGGATAACTCCCTACTCTTATCGAGAAATACCCGGGGATCTCTAATGACCACTGAGAGTCAGGACCTCGGTTTAACGTCTCATCCAAAAGACAGACTATGAAATACATAATATAATATTATAACATATACTATATAATATATACTATTATACCATAAGATTATATATACTATTATAAACCGTAATATAAAATATTAAAAAGCATAAAAGCACATTGTCATGGGGAGAACCACTGGTTTAAATTCACAGTGGTAAATGTCATACACAGCTCATTTTGTCTGTAAGTACAGTAAGTGTTGCTGTCGCAGAAAGCCGGAGTAGTGTCATCCCGTTCCTTATGTCTCACCACCGGTGTTCCTCTCACCTTGTCTATGTCATTAATCTCAGCCCCCTGGCCGAGCAGCACCCTGACCATGTTAACGTGTCCGTTGGCGGCGGCCAGGTGGAGACAGGTGCGCCCGCGCTTGTCCTTCAGGTGCAGGTGGGAGGTGGCCTTGCTGAGCAGGAGGCCCACAACTTCCGTGTGGCCGTTCTGCGCGGCCAGGTGGAGGGGAGTCGAGCCCTGTGGAGAGAGAGTAGTAGAGTAGAGGAGTTTATTGTCAGATGCACTCGTACATTGAAATTCTTATTCACGCTGATCTCTTTGGACATAGACAGTACAGCAGTGTGGAAGAGCCCCCTTTTTGGGTAGTGTTGGCAGGGGGTTTCCACATTAACCTTAACCTTATCTTTCCATAATCTGTAACCGTCTCTTTCCAGATAGCAGTGGCAATAACCTCTCTCGGTCGATTCCGGTAGGCCAGGTGCGCTCATTAACCGTCTTCTTACTTACCAGCATGCCGACCCGGAAAACGACCGAGGCTGCTATCGTAACCTAATCCCGTTATGCTTACTGCTTCATAACCTTGAGGGTTCTGTGGAAAGGCCCTGTGGAAAAGGCAACATTCACTGCCTCGCTTTTATAGGGAGCTAAAGTCACCAGGTACCAGCCAATTCCGTGAGAATCTGAAGAATGTGGCTCTCCTGAATAAAATGACTCTGCCCCTTGATGACTCATTTGTGCTTCCAACCGCAGCATCGCTACCAGCTGACAGCACCACACGATGTAGGCGGTACATTACAAACACAACACAATATAGCAACAGGAACAATAAATATGTTGTGGGACAATAAACATGTAGTAGTGAGAGAGAAAAAAACATGGTAAAAGTGCATAGTGCAGATGTGCATTGAGTGTGTGGCAAGACTACAGACTACAGAGGTTCATTTTGTTGAGGATGTGTAGAAGGGGGCATACAGGGAGAAGAGAGTCTGATCTCGAAGACAACCGAACACCAATGGGGCCAGAGTCCTGGTCACGCAAAGCACATTTTTGAAATCATTGCACTAGGGACAACAATATCTAAGAATTAAATGCTTTTTTAATGCTTGAAATACTTGGGTGAGAAAAGTTTGGCTTGACCTGCTTGATTAACAGGCAGCCTCCTGGCCACAGGACGAGGAGACTCGAACCCCATTCAGGCTGAGTGAACCAAGGGGCAGCTGCGATGTGGACATGTGGTGGAGGAGGGATGCTGGAGACGAACGTGAAGGGAGGTGTTATATAATGTGATATACATACAATATAACTAATTTCGTAATGATGGTGATTAGGTACAGCTGTGTAAGATTGACTTGTCGTTGTTATCCCTCCTGAACTTTAGTTAATAACTGTTACGGTATCAGCATCCCCCGATTTTAAACCACAACCAATCTTAGAAGGCATAGACTCCAGTGATAGTTACCCAATCACCTTTCCTGTTCACTACCCCACCTCCAGAGCTAGGATACTTTAGGAGAGCCCGTAGGGACATCAGTGCTCAGTAGTGGGTTTTCCCTGGCGAGCTGAATTTCCCCGTTGGGCATGAACATTCTTTCTGTGTTCGAATTCTTGGTAACCAGACAACAGCTATATTCTCGACCTCGACTTCTGGATTTTGTCTGCCATTTCGTCTTGTGACTCTCTTGGTTATTGGACTTTCCGATTGCCTAGTAACCTAGACTTCTGGATCTCCCCTCGGGTATTGTACGATTTATCTCACTTCCGGATTTAGACCTCGTTTGCTACTCCCTAGACCACGAGTTTGGATTTTGTTATTTATTCTGTTTTCGGCTTCATAGTGAACTCGTCACCCACAAAGAGTCCATCACTTTGGTTGTTACAGCTCGCATTCGTAACAATAACCTCCATTCAGGTAAAGCATGTCTTTTCACCCTTTTTCTTTTCAAAAGCCACCGAACCTGATTGATCCCCAATCTTGCCAGAGAACAGTGAGGTATTTGATAATATTTAATAATACAGAGCTACACAGCAATTACACTTGATGAAAACGACAACCACAGTACAATGATACAAGAGACTAAAAGAGGTTCACTTTGGAATAAATCTGCAGAGTCCATGTTCACAACAAGGAAGAAAAACATGCCAAACTAAGCTCTGAAAAAGTGTGACAATCTGGGGAGAAGAGAACACCAAGGATAAATGGGAGGACAGCTATAGGAAAATATCTGGTAATGACTGAGCACTGGTGTTTCCATCTCATGAAAATGTCAACCTGAAAAATGTGTTATGAAAACATTTCTGAGGCTCTTGAATGCTATCTTTACTCTGTATTAAGTACTAAAATATGTAAACTGTGCTCTCAGAATAGAACCAATGGGTGTGACGTGCCTGCAAGTTGGTTTCGGCGTCGGCCTGCACTCCGGGGCAGTTCAGCAGGAGCCTCACCAGGCCTTCGTGGCCAGACTGTGCGGCCAGGTGGAGGGCGGTCAGGCCTGACTGAGAGACAGACACACACAGCACAAGGTGAGCGACAGACGACATAGACGTACAGGAACAGAAACAGCCAACAAGTGCAAGTAACACGGAAGAGAGGAGAACGTGGCTGAAATGCAAAAATTCTTCAGAACTGAGGACATTAGCCATTACGTGTCATAACATTGCTGGCCCAACCCAGGTAACTGAGCTCTAGCGCATCAAAACGGTTTTGAGTGGTTACAACGAGAGGAGGCCATCTGGTCAAGAAACAGAAACATATTTCCGTCTTATGTATTCAATAAAACAGTGAAACGCATGCATTACGAAGTCCTCGCTTGTATCACAAAATCACAAAGCTAAAAAAGGTGATGGTAGGTAATTGATCCAAAGATCTCATAAGCTGTTTCTTGAAAGAAACCATGGTATTGACTTCAATAGCACAGCTGGGTAGTTTGATCCACACTCCCAGAGCAGCAAAAGTCTGTGAGTTACACAATGAGCTGAGACAGCTTGTGACACAATGGCTTTTCCTGCATTCTTGCAAGTACTGGGGGAACCTGCAGGAAACTGTCAGGTCTTGTAGTCTGTCCATACTGTACATTTTCTAACAGTTTTATTCAATTGAGGACTGCAGGGGGAGCCAGAGCCTATCCCAGCAAGCAATGGGTGCAAGGCTGGGTACACCCTGGATGGGACTCCAGTGCATCACGGGGAACAAACGGACATAAACATGCATTCGTGGTGCCAGGGCCAGTTTTCCTGAAAGCCAATTACCTTACCTGTCTGCCCTTGAACTCTGGGAGGAAATCGGAGCACCTGGAGCAAACCCATGCAGACATGGAGAAAACATACGAACCCCACAGGACAGACAGCACCCCAGGAATTGAACTCTGGGCCTCAGAGCTGAGCAGCGCCGATGCTATTCGGTCCTGTCCCGTGGTTTAAGATACCTCAGCGAGTGGTTCTCGACCAGGCTGTCCCTCTGTGGAGCTTTGAGGAGGTTCACTGCGCATCGTGGCCGGCACCTTGGTGAGAATCTCCCTCACAAAGTCCGTCTGTCCAAAACAAGCTGCCACATGGAGTGCGGTGAGTCCTGTCTGCGCAAGGCAACAGGATTAGAGAAACCATTATCTACCGGACGCAAGGACAAACCACACACAATGCTCTTGAGCTCTCTACGTTTTTCACTTTAACATACACTGCTTGGTGTTTTTTTATTTAAAAAAAAGCTGTTTCTTTGTGTTTCACTTCAAACATAACACCTCAAAATAAAAAGGTGAATGTCAGTGGATTTAATTCAGCCCAGTCAGACATTACGAACTGCTCATGTAAGTGCTTTATTCTACTGATAGTTCGGCTTTCCGTGAACATTTCTATTTTAGATGAAAATAAATTCCAGTTTCTAAATAAAATCAAATAGGGCTCGGTTTGAAAATGCATTTTTCATAGCTGCAGAGAAACACGAATTTCTAAGCTCCGAAGAGCCTTATTCTGCTTCCTTTGAACACAAATATGGTACTAACAAAATGGTAAAATGAATACATATTTGAGGCATTGAAAAATGTGCTTAAATTCAATGGGCACCTTGGTGCTGTATATTTTAAGGGAGATGCTGCCCTTCAAGGCTTCCAGGACATGTGTGTGTCCGTTCTTGGCGGCTAAGTGAATAGCAGTCATTCCCTCCTGGAGGAAAAATAGGACATAATATTTTATTGTTAGGTATTCAATAAAAGAGTGACATGAATGAGTATCACCCTCACAAAGCTAAAAAAATGAAAAACATATCAGTCAACTCTCTGTATTCCTATTGTCAGAGTTTTGAAACAGATCTAAAATAATGCTTGAAATAACTGGTTAATAAATAAATTAACCAAAGTTAATTTGAAAAAAATTAAATGCTTTTCAGATCATAACGTGACTCAGATTATATATAAAACAAGATTATATGTAAAACAAACATGTATAAAACAAGAAACACTTTGGTCCCTTTCTCGAGGTTTAAACCTCATCCCTCACTGTTACAGTTTTCCCTAAAAATAGTTTTGTTCTGCTAGAAACGTCACTATCAATGGCTTTCTAAGCCAGGTTCATTAGAAAATCTTCGTTAAATCGGGTATTTGTTTAAATTGACAGTCTTTTGTGTATAGGTGGTGTAATTAGACAGAAATAGTCTTTTATGACTAAGATTAAGAAATAGTCTTTGCAGACAAAGATTAAGAAACGTCCCACAGACCACCATTGGCAAAAATAGGAGGCACCTTATCAAATTGTCATTAGGATGTGGATATTAAAGGTTAGCACAGAGCTCTGTGAGGTCAGCCCACAGTCTATTATCTCAGTGCCTCAATACATCCTTACTGTCTTCTACTGTATGTTCACTTACCGCATTTTCTTCAGCTGCTGAAGCTCCAGCCTCAAGTAACACCTTCACAACCTCTGTGTGGCCTCCAGCAGCTGCCAAGTGGACTGGGCTTGAGCCATTTGTCTGCGAAAGATCCCAAAAACACAGAGTTCCAAAACACTGTGCTTCAAGGGCAACCCCAGTGCTGCCTTAGATAAGGTAATCGACTATAAAGTACTAAAAACCTATTCTCACACTGCCCAAATACTGCAAAATCAAGCCAAGGTAAAAATATACAGGCTGCTGGTTTATTTGGAGGGGGAATGGATAGACTAAAATTATTTATTTCATTGCCCCATAAGATAAAGCTCCACAAATCCCATGACAGTAGTGCAGAAATGGATACATACAGTGCCTTGCGAAAGTATTCGGCCCCCTTGAACTTTTCAACCTTTTGCCACATTTCAGGCTTCAAACATAAAGATATA